CCATGCTCTTGTTTCTTGACCTGGATACTATTAATAGTAATATGAGAGCATTAAATTTATGACAATTCATTGGCCAGCACTTAACCATTTGTGTACCTTTCAGTATCTGTTATGTTTTAAGCATTTTTTTTTTCAGTTAAATTAGGATTCCTTCTAATACTTATCCTCTATCTTCTTTGGTACCCAAACATTCAGACGCCTCCCCATGCAGCTCTGTCTGCCGTGTCTATGGGCTCCCATCAACCACACACAAAATGACCCAAACCTATTATTTTAATAACAACTTTGAGATATAATTCACATACCACAAAACATATGTTTTTAAAGTATACAATTTAGTGGCCTTGATACATACTCACACAGCTGTGCAGCCATCACAACTATCTCATTTTAGAATGTTTTCATTATCTCTAAAAGAAACCCTGTACTTTTAGCACTCACTCTCTGTTCTCTTCTTTCCCTGCTCTGTGGGAATCACTAATGTACTTTCAGTCCTGATGGATTTTTCTATTCGGGACATCTCATATAAATTGAATCTGACAGTATGTGGTCTTAAATGTTTTCACGGTTCTTCCAAATTGTACCATGTATCAGTATTTCATTCTTTTTTGTGGCTAAATAATATTTCATTGTATGAATACACCACATTTTGTTTATCTAGTCACCTGTTGATGAACATTTGCTTTGTTTCCACTTTTTGGCTATTCTGAATAGGGCTCTATGAACATTTCTGCTTAAATACCTGTTTTCAATCCTTTTGGGTTTATACCTGTAGAATTGCTGGGTCATACGGTGACTCCATGATTAAACTTCAGAGGAACCACCAAGTTATTTTCCACAGTGGCTGCACCATTTTACATTCCCATCACCAATGTATGAGGATTCCAATTTCTCCACATTTTTGCCAATACTTTTTATTATTATAGCCATCCCAGTGGGTATGAAGTATTATCTCATTGTGGTTTTCATTTGATTTTTCTGAATGACTAATGATGTTGAACATCTTTTCACGTGCTTTTTGGCCATTTTCATATCATCTTTGGAGAAATGCATATTCAAATTTTTTGCATTCTTAATTGGGTTATTTTCTTTTTGTTGTTAAGAGTTCTCTGTATATTCTGGATACAAATTATGTGATATACTAGAAATGTTTTACAAATATTTTCTCCCATTCTGTGTGTTATCTTTTCACTTTCTTAATGGGTGTCCCTTGAAGCACAAAAGTTTTTAATTCTGATGAGGTATACTTTTTTTTTTTTTTTTAGAGGGGGTCTTTCTATGTTGCCTAGGCTGGACTCTAACTCCTAGGCTCAAGTGATCCTCCCGCCTCCGCCCTCCCAGGTAGCTGGGACTACAGGTGCTTGCCATCACACCCTGCTGCCCTGTATTTATTTTTGTCTCATGCTTTTGGTGTCATAGCTAAGAAACCATTGCCTAACCTAAGTTCATTAAGATTAACTTCTTTTTATCTGAAAGTTTTGTTTTGGTTCTTATATTTAAGTCTATATGATCCATTTTGAGTTAATTTTTGTGTATGGTGTGAAATAGGCCAACTATTTTTTCACCCCTTGAAAATAATATCTTAAAGCTAGAAACAATTTTAAAACTATGCATTGGCACAGAATTATCCTGGAGAGATGTTGGGAGCCATGGCCTGGGTGACTTGCCAATTACTTTTCCATTTCTTGACAACTGTCACAATTGTTTACACATTTATTCTGTTGTCTGTGGGTTTAGTTTACTTTTTGTGGTGCCTAGAGGTAAGGAGAGTCGTTGAGGCAATAGAAAACCAGAATTACTGGCAGCACAAATCAACTCGAGAAAGCCACCAAATGATGAGCCCTACTGGCCCAAAGCTTTGTCATGGAATGTTCTTTAAGGAGGTATTAGTTGAGCAAAGACCTGGATAATAAGGACCTGTCTAACCAAAGGCCAGGGAAAGAGCATTGCACTCAGGGTGAACAAGTGCAGAAACCTCAAGTGGGGTAACGGAGTTGCGTGGCGGGGGGAGGATCAGTTTGGGGAAGCTCACACATGTCCCCTTTGAAGCATGAAACCTGGTATGGTCAAGCAACTGACAACAACCAGTGTGGCTGGGACACAGGGACTTGGGAACAGGTGGAGGCCTTGTAGATCGTGTTGTATAGTTGGGGCTTTTCCCTACATGCAGGAGAGAAGTTACTGGGGAAGATAAAGCCAAGTGAATGTACCTGAGACTGTCTGTGTCTGAGGTTGTCTCTCACTGTGCTCCAGGGTCGGTGGTTGGGGACCAGTGAAGTTCCAAGGGGAACAAAGACTGGCTTCCCCCACAGGATCAGTGTGAGGAATGGGTCTGGGAAATAGAAACCAACAGAATGTGACATCTCCCCTTTCCTGCAGGCTGGGAAGTTGTAGCCTTTCGCTGGAGGACTGTGAAATCTTCGCCTCAGTTCTGAACAGAAGCAAGAAGCTGAAGCATCTGAACCTCACCTGCAACTACTTGGACCAGGGGATGCGCCACTTGTGTGAAGCCTTGTGCCACCCAGACTGCATCCTGGAGTACCTGGTGTGAGTGAGCCTTGGGGGTTTGTGGTGGAGGACTGTGGTCTGGTTTGAACTTTGGCTTGTTTACTGACATCTGTCCTTTGATTGGGGCCACATGGCTAAGGTTTTAATGCATAAGCTTAAGAACCAAAAACACATGAGTTTAGTATTTAAGTCCAGGATTTAGCACTTAGAATCGTACATCTTCTTTTTTGTCTTTTATCTTATTTGAGTAAATCTATGGGGTGCAAGTGTAATTTTGTTACATGCATAGATTGCATTGCAGTGAAGTCAGGGCTTTTAGAATATTCATCACCGCGTTAAGTACTTAAATACATTAATTTCTCATCATCCACCCCCTGCCACCCTCCCACCCTTCCAGGTCTCCAGTGTCTATTATTCCACTCTAAGTCTATGTGTGCATATTGTTTAGCTCCCACTTGTAAGTGAGAACACGTGGTATTTGCATTTCTGTGTGTGTACTCTGTCTTCTTGAGTGAGATATTTAACCTCAGATTTGATTTTCTCTTCTGTAAACAGAAGGAGGGAAAAGTATGCTGTCTTAGCAGTCTTTTGAATATTAAGAGAGATTATCTATACAGAGTACATACCAAGCTTCAAACAATGTTAGATTGGATTAAGGCACCTACAGCGCACCCAGTACTTCCTGTGTTAATAATGCACTTATTTCTGCCTGCAGAGTGCACTCCCAGCTGCTACTCAGGACAGAGGCAGAGCAAGATGTCCACAGGCCTCTTGCCCTCATGTAATTCTGAATGTGCTTCTCTTGTAGTAATGGAATGGGTGAATGGACTAACCAAGAAGCAAATGTAGGGTGAATGGAACACAGAGAAGGAAGACAGATCAGTTCTTGTGTTACAGGGTCAGTTGATTACCTATCAATGCAGTTCTAACATCTTCAGTTTATGCTAGTACTTACACAAAAGCAGGAAAGGACAGGAGAGTATATATTTACATTTGTATATATTCAGGTTTTTTATACACAAATATCCTTGGAGGAAATGTAAGAACTAAGCTGGGAGATGGGGTAAGAGATAGATATTTCCCTCTTTCTATTTCTGGATTTTTTTGAAATAAATAAGGGTATTCTAAGAATAAATCAAGGAAATTAGAGGAAGGGGACTGGATGAGACTTTCTGTAAATATCTATGAGGTCTCTATGGTCTATAGTGCAGATTAAGTCCAATGTTTATTTTCTGTTTGGATATCTGTCCAATGCTGAAAGCAGGGTGTTGAGGTCTCCAACTACTATTGTATTGGGATTATCTCTCTTTCTTTAACTCTGATAATGTTGCTTATATATCTGGGTGTTCCAATGTTGGATGCAAATATATTAAGGGTTATTATACTGTCTTGCTGAATTTACTCCTTTATCATTATATAATGACATTCTTTGTCTCTTTTTACAGCTTTTGTCTTGAAATATATTTTATCTGATAGAAATATAGCTACTCCTTCTCTTTTTTTGGTTTCCATTTGCATGGAATATCTTTTTCCATCCTTTTATTTTCAGTCTACATGTGTCTTTATAGGTGAAGTAGGTTTCTTGTAGACATCATATAGTTGTGTCTTCTTTTCTTATCTATTCAGCTACTCTGTCTTTTGATTGGACAACTTAGTCTATTTACATTCAATGTTATTATTGACAAGTAAGGTCTTACTACTGCCATGCTGTTACTTGATTTGAGGTTCTTTTGTGGTTCTCTCTTTCTTTATTTCTTCCTTTGTGAAAAGTGATTTTTCTCTGGTAGTGTGTTTTAATTTCTTTTTATTTTTTGTGTTATCTGTTGCAGGTGTTTTGATTTGAGGTTACCATGAGGCTTGCAAAAAACATTTTAAAACTAATTATTTTAAACATATGACAACTCTGCTAACAAACAAGCAGAGAAATCTAACAGAAATTCTACATTTTAACTTCATGCCTCTGCTTTTTAACTTTTTGTTTCCATCTATATAATTTTGCACTATCTAACTCTCAAAAAGTTATCGCAGTTATGATTTTTGATAGATTTGTCTTTTAGGCTCCTACTCAAGATATGAGTCATTTATACACTGCAAGGACAACAACAGAGTGTTCTGTATTTGTGTACTTACTGTTACCAGTGGGTTTTATACCTTCAGAGGAGTGCTTATTATTTATCAATGTCCTTTTCCTTTATATTGAAGATCTCCTTTGAGCATTCCTTGTAGGACAGGTCTGTTGTTGATGGACTTGCTCAGCTTTTGTTTGTCTGGGAAAGTCTTTATTTCTCCTTCACGTTTGAAGGATATTTTTGTAGGATATAATATTCTAGAGTTAACTTTTTTTCTTCAGCACTTTGAATATGTCATGCCGCTCTCTCGTGGCCTGTAAGATTTCCACTGAGAAGTCTACTGCCAGACATATTGGAGCTCCTTTATATGTCTTTTTATTCTTTTTTCTTTCTTTATCTCTTTTTTTTTTTGCTTCCCTTAGGACCTTTTCTTTATCTGTGGCCTTTGGGAGCTTGGTTATTAAATGCCTTGAGGTAGTCTTGTTTCGGTTAAATTTGCCAGGTATTCTGTGACATTCTTGTGCCTATATGTTGATATCTTCCTCTAGGTTTGAAAAGTCCTCTGTTATTTCTTTTAATAAACTTTCTACCCAAGTCTTTCTCTCTACATCCTCTTTAAGGGCAATAACTTTTAGATTTTCCCTTTGAGGCTCTTTCCTAGATCTTGCAGACATGCTCTATTCTTATTCTCTTTTCTCTTCTGGCTATACTTTCAAGTAGCCTGTCTTCAAGCTCACTAATTCTTTCTTCTGCTTGATCAATTCTGATGTTGAGAGACTCTGATGCATTTTTCAGTTTGTCAATTGAATTTTTCAGCTCTAGAATTTGATTTTTTTAAATTTTTATTTCAATCTCTTTTTTAATTTCTCTGATAAGCTTCTGAATTCCTTCTCTGTGTTGTCCTGAAGTTCACTGAGCTTCTGCAGGACAGCTGTGTTGAATTCTTTGTCTGAAAGGTCACATATATCCATCACTCTGGGATTGGTCACTGGGGCCTTATTTATTTCATTTGGTGAGGTCATGTTTTCCTGGATGTTCCTGATGCTTGTGGATGTTCATCAATGTCTAGGCGTTGAAGAGTTAGGTATTTCTTCTAATCTTTGCAGAGTGGGCTTGTTTGAACCCATACTTCTTGAGAAGGCTTTCCAGATATTCAAAGAGAGTTAAGTGTTGTGATCTAAGTCTTTGGTCACTGCAGCCATATCAGCACTAGGCGTCCCCCAAGCCAAGTAATGCTGTGACTGTTGCAGACTCCCGGTGGTACTGCCTTGGTGGACTGTGGTAAGACACAGAATTACTTGGATTACTAAGCAAAGTCTCTAAACCTCTTCCCTCACTCTCTGTGCTGGGCTGCTGGCATTAGGGGAGGATGATGTGGGAACTGCCTCCTGGCCACCACAACTGGGACTGTGCCAGGTCACACCTGAAGCCAGACCAGTCTCACTCAAAGCTATGGCAACTGTTGTCTGGCTACCTCTGTTTATTCAAAGCCAAAGGGCTCTTTAGTCAGCAGGTGGTGAATCCTGCCAG